AATTCATTCACTCTAGGCTACCCTCTAGCTGTGAATGATACATGCTCAGAAATACTTCAGGAAATACTATGGTTAAGATTCTCTAGGATCACTGCTTAAATTAAGTTCAGGTTAAAATGCTCCATAAGTAGACAGAACATATAATTTATCACCCAAACCTATACATTTGAGAAAGGTGGAGCTACTAACAATCATGTTTGGAAAATAGGGTTAAACTAGAATTGCACCAGCAATCTGGGACCTGTGGTTACCCCAACAGTAAATGGTCTTCGGCGTGCCAAGATCCCCATTGTCTTTCTCAACTCAAATAGCACCTCCTCAGAGAAGTCTTTGAAGGCTTTTTGTTCTCTTAATTGTTCATCTTTCACAGGTTTCTCTAAACCAGAATCCTCTTATATCTCACCTCAGGCTATAGAGAGAGAGATTGCTTAGCTTAGAATCCTGTCTCTACCTTTATTAGTAGAGTCTTTGGGCAAATAAACCTTTCTGTGGTGGTTTACTCACTTGTGAAGCAGGTATTAAAAAAGAACAATCGAACTTACTTGGGAGGATGAAATGAATAATACATGCAAAGCACCCAGAACATCACCTAGTCCATAAGTGCTCAGTAAAGTTAGCTATCACTTCCTATAAAAATGCCCCCCCACTTTGAGAGTCAAGTATCTGATCATTTAAAAAATACAAGCAAAATTGTATTTGTCACTTCTGCCTCATCCATTCTTTCCATTCTGATATTTTGAGGAAAATTTTTTACTTTAATAGTGGTCCCGAGTGAAAAAAAATTAAGTCATCTGGAGCCCAAATTTATGTCAGTACTTGCTGAATATAGAAGTTTCTATTTGCTTTTCCTGGGTGGTAGCTTTCTGGTTTTTATCCCAAGTCGTTTTTGTCTTCTGTAGCAACGTCCCACCTATGACACATGTGGACAAAGTAGGTCCCTCCTGCCATTTCAGTAAACAAAGTGTAGCAGCCATAAAGCCACCTGTTGTGCCCTGAGGGGAATTTTGGGCAGAGAAAGGATTCTGGCCCTCGATAGCACATGTTGTTCAGTTGCTAAGTGGTGTCCAACTTGTTTGTGACCACATGGACGGCAGCACACCAGACTCCTCGCTCCTCCACTATTTCCAGAGTTTGCTCAAATTCATGTCCACTGAGTGAGTCGGTGATACTATCTAACCATCTCAATCTCTGCCGCCCCCTTCTCTTTCTGCCTTCAACCTTTATTTCCTAGGGTCTTTTCCAATGAGTCGGCTCTTCACATCAGGTGGCCAATGTACTGATGCTTTAGTTCTAGCACCAGTCCTTCCAAAGAATATTCAGCGTTGATTTCCTTTAGGATTGACTGGTTTGATCTCCTTACAGTCCAAGGGACCCTGAATAGTCTTCTACAGCACCACAATTGGAAAGCATCAGTTTTTTGGTGCTCAGTCGTCACGGTACAACTCTCACATCTGTACATGACTACTGGAAAAACCATAACTTTGACTATATGGACATTTGTTAGCAAAGTGACGTCTCTGCTTTTATAATACAGTCTAGGCTTGTCAGAGCTTTCCTTCTAAGGAGCAGGTGTCTTAATTTCATGGCTGTAGTCATTATCCACAATGATTTTGGAGCCCAAGAAAATAAAATGTCACTGCTTCCACTTTTTCCTCTGCCATGAAGTGATGGGACCGGGTGCCATGATCTTAGTTTTTTGAATGTTGAGTTTCAAGCCAGCTTTTTCACTGTCCTCTTTCACCCTCATCAAGGGGCAATTTAATACTTCACTTTCTGCCTTTAGACTGGTATCATCTGCATATTTGAGGTTGTTGATAAGATGCATATCAAAGGAATAATTTCAGTAAGCCCAGACTCTTACATCTTTCCTACATAGAAAAATACTAAAATCATCTTGAGATGTCTTTTTTTGTGATTAGCAGTAATCTTTCAATGCTTGACTACTTTTTCCTTTTCACAAAAATTCCTAAATACCCTTTTCCCTTACATCCTTGGAACAACTCCTCAGAACATGGCTGTATCCTAGGCTATAGCCCTCATTAAAGCCACAGAATTAAACACAATTCTCAACTGCACCTGTGTGTTTTGTTTTTCAGTCAACCCACAGAAGTGTTTTGCTAAAAGAGCTAAAAGGGAAAATATTTTACAATGTAGACTTGCTAAAATCTAAAATCTGGATTTTTGGCACATCCTACATAAAATGGAATGGTAATTTTTGTTTATCTTGAAGATAGTCAACTTACAATTTCTACTTATTAGGAAAGAATGCCTTATCAATCACGTAAGTTTTATTTTCTGTAAATTTGAGACTTTGTCAGTTTTTTCAGGACCACAGAAATGCTATTAGAGAATGAGGATTGTATGCTTTTGAGCTTTATTTTTTGATTAGTGTACTACTTCTGATCTTTTGTTATAGAAGACACATAAAATGATTTAATGAATACTCACATATCTACCACCTGACTTATGAAAATAGAACATTATCAGTATCTTTGAAGGCCCTTACATGACTCTTCCCCCTCCCATCTCTTCCGTCATGGCTTCTATTCTGAATTTTGGGTTTATAGTGTTCTTGCTTTTATTTGTAGTTTTTCCATAGACAAAACATTAACATTTTAAAACTTTGTATAAATGGAATCATGTTGTATGTTATCATCTGTGCTTTGCTTTTCATCCCACTATGAAGACTATGATCCTGAGCTTCATTCATGTTATTGCATGGCTATCACTCACTCCTTTTTGATGTTGTATGATGTTCCACTGAATGTCTATACAAGATTTGAGCAATTTATATACTTATATATTGTTGATTTATTTAGGTTGTTTCCTGTTTTGTGTGCTGTTGAAAGTGTTAAGAACATTTTTGGACATATATTTTGGTAAAAATGTTCAAGAATCTCTCTAGGATACTTACTTCGGGGAGGAACTGTTGGCCATGAGCCATGCATGACTTCAAAGTTTAGTTGTTGTTATTTAATTGCTAAGTTGTGTCCAACTCTCTGCCACCCCATGGACTGTAGCCTGCCAGGCTCCTCCGTCCATGGGATTTCCCAGGCAAGAATACTGGAGTGGGATGATGTTTTCTTCCTCAAGGGCTCTTTCTGACCCAGAGATCAAACCTGTGACTCCTGCATCGGCAGATGGATTCTCTACCGCTGAGCCACTGCTGCTGCTGCCAGGTCGCTTCAGTCACGTCTGACTTGGTGCGACCCCATGGACTGTGGCCTACCAGGCTCCTCCGTCCATGGGATTTTCCAGGCAAGAGTATTGGAGTGGGTTGCCATTGCCTTCTCCGGCTGAGCCACTAGCGAAGTCCAATTTTAGTAGCAAATGTCAAAGTGTTTTCCAAAGCGGTTGTGCTATTTTACACTACCAAACAAAGTGTTCTTCCATTGCTCTGCATTGTCACCAATGCTTGTTAATGTGGACTTAAAAGTATTTTGTCAGTTGAATGCATGAAATGATGTATTTATGGTCTTAATTCATGTGCTCCTGATTTCCAGTTAGTTTAGCACCTTTAAAAATTTATGTATTTCTGGTCAAGCCCTGCATGGCATGTAGAATCTTACTTACTCAACCAGAGATGGAATTTATACCCCCAGCAGTAGAAGCACCCACCAGGGAAGTCCTCAGCTCCTTTTTGTATGCTTGTATTTCCTTTTCTGTGAAATGCCTTGCTTAGGCCTTTAGCATTTTTTTTCTATTACATTGTATTTTAATTTGTAAGAGTTTTTCACTTAATTTACTTATCTTTAATTAAAATACAGTTGATTTACAATATATTAGTTTCAGGTTTACAGCATAGTAATTCAGTATTTTAATAGACTGCACTCCATTTAAAGTTATTACAACAAAGGATTACTCTCCAAAATATACAAGCAGCTCATCCAATCAAAAGGTGGGCAGAAGACCTGAATAGGCATTTCTCCAAAGACATACAAATGGCTAACAAACACATGAAAAGATGCTCAATATCACTTATTATTAGAGAAATGCAAATCTAAACTACAGTGGTGTCACCTCGCACTGGTCAGAATGGTCATCATCAAAAAATCTACAAACAATAAATGCTGGAGAGGGTGTGAAATAAAGGCAACCCTCTTGAACTGCTGGTGGGAATGTAAATTGACATAGCCACTATAGAGAACACAATAGAGATTCCTTAAGAAACCAGGAATAAAACTACCATATGATCCAACAATCCCACTACTAGGCATGTACCCTGAGGATACCATAAATGAAAAAGACATATGTACCCCAACGTTCACTGCAGCACTATTTACAATAGCTAGGACATGGAAGCAACCAAGATGTCCATCAACAGATGAATGAATTAAGAGGTTGTGATGCTTATATACAATGGAATATTACTTAGCCATAAAAAGGAACACATTTGAGTCAGTTCTAATCAGGTAGATGAACCTATTATACAGTGTGAATTAATTTAGAGAAACAAATATCTATAAAGGCATATATATGGAATCTAGAAAGATGGTACTGATGAACCTATTTGGAAGGCAGCAATGGAGACGCAGACAGAGAACAGACTTGTGGACCCTGTGGGGGAAGGAGAGGGAAGTACAAATTGACAGAGTAACAGTGAAACAAATATATTACCACATGTAAAATAGCCATGGGAATTTGCATATGATGCAGGGATCTCAAACCTAGTGTTCTGTGACAACCTAGAGGGGTGGGATGGGATGAGAGGTGGAAAGTAGGTTCAAGAGGGAGGAGACATATGTACACCTATGACTGATTCATGTCGATGTATAGTAGAAACACAATACTGTAATTATCTTCCAATTAAAAATATAATTAAAAAACCATAAAAAAGTAATTACAAAATAATGGCTATACTTCCCTGTTGTATAATATATCCTTGTTGCTTATTTATTTTATACATAGTAGTCTTTATCTCTTAATTCCCTACCCCTATCTTGCCCCTCTTTTCTTCCCTCTCTCCACCAGCAACACTAGATTTGTTCTCTATATCTGAATCTGTTTGTTTTGTCATATTCATTATTTTTTAGATTCCACATTATGTAGAATATTTGTCTTTGACATATCATTTTTCATGTAGTTTAAATATGTGATTCTCAAATGGAGGAGAAATTGCCCCTTAGGAAACATTTGGCAATGTCTGGAGACATTTTTAACAGTCACACAACTTGACAGGGGAAGCATGTAATAGGTTGAGATCAGAGATGATGCTAAAACATCCTATAAAGCACAGCCTCCACAGTAAAGAATTATCAGGCCCAATATGTTAATCATGTCAAACTAGAGATTTGTCCTAGATGCCAATATGTTATCAATTGTATGTGTTGTAAATATTTTTCCCAGTTTGTTGGTATCTTCATTTTTCCTGTGGTACTTTTTGATGATAAGAAATTCTTAATTTTAATATATTTAAGCTATCGATCTTTTCTTTTATGGACTATGCTTTTGTCTTTGATTTAAGAAAGTTCTCCAGGCTTTAAGGATAGAGACATTCCAATGAAATGTTCCATAAGTTTTAAATTTTGCTTTTCTATATTTAAGCCTTTGATTACATTTGTTTATAACCTACGAGTCCAAAATTAACTTTTATATAAAGAAATGAGGACTATTTATTTAAAATCCATCTTATCCCCACTGGGTTACAATGCTGTCAAAACTGAAGTTTGCAAAAATGGGCTTATTTCTAGTTGTCTATTTTTATCTTTTTATCTGGAGGCTAAAGTTGTTTTTACTTTCTAATAAAAGAAAAATTGAATCCCAAGAGTTTTAAGGTTTTCACGAATTTCATGAAAGTAGATTTTAGAAGCTTTTTTAAAAGGTATTTCTCTGTCTTTTCTAGAGATACAAAAAGAAGGGAATTTGATGTTATATTGAATACCAAGACCAAATACTTCTCAAATTATTATAAAATGAACTCATTAATTTCACTGAAAGTTGTTTCACTTCTCCACAAACTACACTGCCTACAGTATACATTTCACAAAGGTTGGAAACCCATTTATTGTCTGGCAAAATGAAAGACTTTCCTCAAATATTTTTTAACATCTATATTTAACCTTATACATCATCCAACTCTTTTATCTAGGGGTTGTAACAGAAATATCCATTTTCTTTCCTCCATAGTAAGAAAGACCATTTCCTAACTGCTGAGAAACTGGCTCTTAAGGACATTCCCGACCAGATCATTCCTGGAAAGGAATCCATCTCTCAAAGAACATTCACACCTGTCAATCAACCTCAGCCATCAGCTTTCAAATCCAGTTGCTCTGAAGCCAGTGGCAAAACTATTCACAGGGTGAAGCAGAGATGAAATATATGTAAACATCTTTGTTTCCTTTTCTCTTTTCTAACATTTCCCCTTTCATTCTCATTTAGCCCACATAAGCTCCAAACTAGTATTCAATAACACTGAAGTGGGATCATTTTATTAAAAGAAACTATACCTTGGAATTGAGGTAAGTCAGAAGCAGAAATATAAATACACTGATTCAGAAAATAATTCAGCATTGGGACAAAAACTTTTCCAGGAAAGGAACGTTTTTTCAATTTTTTCCTTTGGGAAAATACTCTGGAAATGATTCCCTTTTTAAACAAGTATTTGCTACTGCTTGTTATTCTTTTTTTCTTGAATATTCTTGAAATGATTATCAACTAATAATGCGATTAATCTGGAGCTTCAAGTATGGGTTTAAGGGAAAATGAGAAGGGGTTTTCTATAGTGACAGCACTTTCCATGATACCTACTTTGATATCTGATCACCATAAAGATTGACAACTCATGGCAAAGCAATGATGTACAGTGGTCATTAAATACTCTAGTTGGACAGCGTGTCTCTAGCTGATTACCATGTCTGGGATCAGGTGGCAGTTAAACCCAAGGGGGCTAAGAGGATTTACCATACATACAGCTCTCAGATTCTATCAAATTTGTTACATCTGGAGCACTGTTTAGAACCATGTAGCAGAAAGACGTTTACTCAAAACTCAAAAGAGACCTCTACTTACCAAATGGCTGTACATACCTCTTTCAGATAGAGAGTATAGATCTCTGGTGGTCTTATAAGGAAATTTTCATAAACAAGATTTGTAAGTTTCCAGCTCATTTAAACACATTAAATACGCAATTTCCTAAAAATTGCAAAGGCAAATAGGAGCTGCTCTAGGAGCAATGTAGAAGTATGCAATGCTGCAAGTAAACTGGACTGAGAAATCAGTTTGTTTTGCAGGGACATCCTCCCCTCCAAGTTGAGGCCAGGAACACAGGATTATATGTGAGGGGAAAAAAAAGACAAAGCCAAAAGCATAAAAAGTCCTACAACCATCAGACATAAACACACAGCCTGTTTTATGTGGAAGATTACGATCACGCTGCGAGTTTTTACCTGCCAGGCAAAGGGGACCCCCTGAATCTCCAGTTGAAGGAAGTAGCAGCAGTCATGGTCCATGCTCCTGAGAATAATCGGGTCTCCCATGGGAGCTGCACCTGATCTGTACCTGTTTACTTTTGCCTCAAACTGCTCACATGCAGACTAGGAAGGCCTGCAGCTGAAACATCACAATCACATGGACAACAATGCCAGGAGAACAGGAAAGGCCACCATCCACATAAAATTCACACTGAAGGTGCTGCCCAAGGGCTTAGACCAGGGCAACGATATAAGCTGTGAGCCCTAAAAGAGATCCTTCCCTACCCAGCCTCCACACAGACTTGGAACAGCCAAGTGGTACATGTGAATGTGAAGTAGGGTTTAGCAGTTACCATTTCCACTAAATTATTGAAAATAAATTGAGGGCACCTTAGCTCTTTATATGCCATCATATATATCCGGCTCAAGCTTAAAACACTATGAAATTTTAGTCTGAACGTCAGAAAATCTAAAATGGGACAACGCGGCGATTCTTGCTCCCCACGCCCAGGTCAGTGTCAGGGTACCTCCCCGATCATCAGTGAACACAAGTTCTGGTCCATTTGGTTAACTTCAGACGTCGGCCCACTCCATCGAGTCTGTCTTCCCTTTTCTTCAGGAGGAAACATTTTTCGAGTCACTGGACTTGGAAACGACTCCACCGTGAGGTGAGACACCCTCTATTACCTGTTCCCTAAGACAGGTTCCCAAAACAGGGAGTAGCTTTGACTCGTCTGTGAGGACTCTAGAGCCGGCGGTGAGTCCGAAAAATGAGGAGGTTTTGACCGCTGACGTCGGAGAACGAGACTTGGGAAAGCAAGGTCCCATCTCCTCAACACCACTTCCGGGCCGCAGACCGCCCGACCGACGTACAATCTGACCGTTAGGCGAGGGCGGGGCCGGGGTCACGTGGCCTGCGCGGGGTCAGAGCCCGGCGTACGCGGGAGCACGCAAAGCGGCTCGGGCCGCGGCCGCGCGCCTGGCGTGCGCGCGCAGGCCGGGGGCGGGGCGTGTGGGCTGAGCCTCAGGCGCGCGGCGGGGCGGAGGCGGGGCTCGAGCGGGGTGGAGGGCGGAGGCGGGGCCTCCTCCTTCACCTCCTCCTCCTCCTCCGGCGAGGCTGGGCCGGCGGCGGCGGCGGCGGGAGGCGGGTGACCCGCGGAGGGGCGTCTCGGCCATGACTGCGGAGCTGCAGCAGGACGACGCGGCCGGAGCGACCGACCGCCACGGCTCGGTGGGCCTCGCGGCGGCGGGCGCGAACCAGGGGGCGGGCTCCGGGTCCCACGGGGTAGGGGTGCGGGGCCCAGGCTGGAGCGGCGCGGGGCGCGGGCGGGCGGGCCTGCGGAGATGGGGCGCGGGGCTGCGGAGGGCGCCCGGGCCCGGCGGGGGCGAAGGCAGCGCGCCGGCCGGGGTGAGCACCGGGGCTCCGGGAGGAAGCTGAAGTCTCTGCAAGGCTCGCTCGCAGAGATTGAGGACTCTTTTTGGGGTCCGGAGACGGGCTGAAGTTCGAGGGAGGTTAACTAATTTGGGATATCAAAAATAAAGGACTGGACGTGGGCTACTGTCTGCATCAGGGATCTCTAAAGAGAGCGCTCCTGGCCCCCGACCAGGGGTGAGAAACTTCGGAAAGGGGCAGCTTTGCTGGATTGTGGGTTTTTTTGTTTTTGTTTTCGAATCTGTTTTAGGGCAGTGCTGTTTTAAGAGTCTAAAGCAGACCGAAGTTATCTAAGTTAAAGCGAGGATTTTATCTACACCGTGTGAAAGACCAAGGGTCCTTGTTACCACTTACTACCTTCCACATCCCCCCCCCCATATTTTTAAGCAGAAAGCAGCCTCCCCAGTTACTGCATTCATCACTGTAGATTTTTAAGGAAAGTGGAGGAACACCGTGATGAATAGAAGGTATGCTGATAATGCTTTCCTAGTTCTAGTATCTAATAAGATTGAAATCAATACAGGGATTTCTGGGCTAAGAAGGTGAGAGGAAAAGAACACTGGTTTGAGAGAAAAAAAGGCTAATGTCTGTTCCAAAAAAAAAAAAAAACCTTGGGAAGTGGGCAATTTGAGAATGTCTTCTAATGTTACTTTGGAATGTTCTAACTTAACATTACCCTGTCACCCCTCAAGTGGTGCGCTTTTTCAAGACAGAATGGGGAACCTGTACCAAGTATTTAAATGCGAGTTTGGAAGTGAGGAATTTCATAAACTATTTATCTATTTACAGTACAGAGCTGTCAGATATCTCCACGTGAGAAACCTTTTACACCCTTTTTTTACCCCCCTCTTCGGACACTCAAGAGACCAATAAAGTGACCGCACTTCCTTTTTAAATTCCTGTAGTAAAAGATACCTCCAGTTCCTGGGCTCCAAAATGAAAGTAGGCAAATGGTGTTTCATGTGCTGATTTTTAATAGAAATATTGTTAGGTGTTTACAAATGACCCTTGGAATGTGAGTCAGGATTTTCTTTCGTTTCACAGATCAGTTCTGTTTCTTCAAAGGACAGTGACTTAAAAGCAGGTGGGAAAATCTTAGTTTTGAGATTGTCATGTTGATTTAGAGAAGAGACTATTTTAAGGGAGAGCAAGTCATATTTAAATTTGTTGGCTGAGACCATGTGTCTTGGTCAGCGGCAACTGCTTTTACCTCTGCCTCAGTTTGAGGGATGACCACTGTCTCAGCCTTCTCGGTTTAAGCGCTCATGCTCATGTGTGAGGTGTTTGATGAACACTTGTATATAAGTCATAGCTATTTTTGGAAAGCTTTGGAACTCCAGTGGCTGTGGCTGGCTGGAGGACCTTATTCCTGGCAACCTGCAGAGTGATGACATTTACTGTTCTTCCCAGTGATTCGCCCCATACAGACAGATGATAAGCTTGGAATGCTTGATAATGTTTGCCCTTTTGGTTTTTTCTAATGTAAAATGCCTGAAGTTAGCTGGTTAGAATGAAGGAGTCTATATGGGGGGTACTTTTCCCATCTCAGAGGAAAGATTTTGGTATTTTCTTCTTCATCTTAAGTTTCATGTTAGAATGAACTCTAAATTCTCTGAAGCAATTCTTCATTGCCCTTAAAGGATCTTGAATTGTTCTAATTGAGGGGAGCGCTCCTCCCCTGACACTCAGCAGCTATTTAAAACTTAGAGTGCTTCCTTTCCCTTATTGGTCAGCGAACAGGCAGAATCTGTTATAGCCCCGAAGAACTTGAGTCAGACGAAAACGCAGTACTCTTGAAATCTGTTCTTAGTCTGCACTTGAGTCTAAAAGAGGATAGGTACCATTTAAATCCCAGCTTCCCAGGTGGCGCTAGTGGTAAAGAATCCACCTGCTAATGCAGGAGACCTGAGAGATGCAGGTTCAATCCCTGGGTTGGGAAAATTCCCTGGAGGAGGGCATGGCAGCCCACTCCAGTATTCTTGCCTGGAGAAATCTCATGAACAGAGGAGCCTGGTGGGCTACAGTCCATGGGATCGCAAAGAGTCGGACGAGACTGAAGCGACTTAGCTTGTACCATTTAAATCAGTTCTTAGATGAAAACCCAGCAGCAGTGTTTACTGTTAATGTAGTGCTCTTGGAGGGAGAGCATTGAGCAGTCCTAAAAAGAGATCTTGGTTCTCTGCTCAGGAGTTAAACCTGGGTAACCTGGATGAAAACCAAGAGTCCTAGCCACTGGACCACCAAGGGCTAGAGGCTAGGGGCAAAGTGGCCCTGGCTCTTGTCCCGAGCAAGAATATTTCAAGGAGGCAAAAAGTTTAAAAACAGATACAAAGTTTATTATTCGAGACACAGCATGATATATGGGAGAGCACACAGGAAAATAGTTTATCCAACTCAGAATCAGGGCAGAAATACACACCCTGACGGGGTATGGGCATCCTCTCTGATGAGGAGTGGTGCAGTAAGTCAGAAGCTAGGCAGAGACACACACCCGGAGAGGAGTGCAGGCGTTTAGAGACACACCCAGAGAGATGTGTGGCTGTCCTGGATAAGGAGGAGGAGTGAGGAGATGATGTAAATCATTTATATAGGACAGTCCTTCCAGGGCTTTGTTTACCTTTGACCCATTATCTTGTTTCTCTCTACATGCCTGACTGACCCATGGATCCTCCCCAAGATGCACATGCAACTTTTTGCTGAGACGGTTCCCACTGTAGCGGCCTGTGGGTGCATGTCCACACTTATTATGGAGTGGGGTCCCCTCCCTTTTCAACTCCCCAAAACATTCCTTCACATGTGCAGACAGGGAAGTCTTCCTTGACCTCAGGTGTGGGCACCTTATCTCTTTGCTTTAGCAGAGCTCAGCTTTTACCACTAGCTTTGTCCTTAGAGTGTCTGGTTGAGAACAAAGGCTTAGTTTTACTCCACTTGACAACCACCAGGTGTCCGGCCTGGAGACCCATTTTCTCCGACCCTAGTAGGACAAGCAATTTTAAGTCAGATTGGCTCTTACAAACCTGCCAGCCTTCGCAGCTGTACTAAGGCTCATCATACATCCTGCTAATGGAAGCCCTATGAAAACCTGTTTCTTAGAAAATTTAGTGCCTTCTTCTGATGTATTGGTTTTATACACTCTTTTATCTTGTCTCATGTCTTGTAATTTTTGGAACATCAGTAAGTGAGTGCTTGGTTGGCATCCACAACTCTCATGCCTCCAGCTTCAGACGGTTCCTACTCACACAGTACTTTTAGAAAATTTATAAAACACATTGACAAGTAACACCTCACCAGGCAAGATCTTGCCATGTGTTTTCTTTCATCAAAGAAATTTAAAGCAATAGCCAAGTGAAGCATATTTTTCAAGGAGAATAATGATGCTGATAGTAGTAGTAGATAACCTTGACTAACCATGTACTATATGCCAGACTGTGCTTACAACTTAACATATTATCTCAGTACTTAGGACAACTTCAGGAAGTTTTCTTATTTCTTGTTAAATAATTTACACAAGGTTACTTACCTAGTAAAGGGTACAGCCAGGGTTTAACCCAGGGATTTCTAACTCCCAAGAGCTCAAGAAATCTCTGATCCTACTTCTTTGTTGATGGACCCATAGTTTTGGGTCAGAACCTATTACTCTGTAGAACTCTCTTCCTGATGTTTTAAATTTTCAGGAATTTCACTGCACTCTTTCTCAATAGATTACCTTCCTTTCTACTTGGATGAGCTAACTGATACCTAAAGAGCGCTCTGTCTCATGCTTGGGGTCCTCCCCCCTTCGGAATCTTTTTTCTCTTAGTGGAAGATGTACTCTTCCCTTCTCCCGTCTTTTAGAGATGAATCTAAATCAGTGGTGTCTAGAAACCTTTTTGATTGTGACTCCTAGGGAAGAATACGCTTGTCATCTAGTGGGTGGAAGCCAAGAATGCTGCTAAATATCCTGCAGTGTATAGAGAGCCTCCCCTTCCCCAAAACAAGTTGTCTGGCCCAAAATGTCAATGGAGCTTAAGAAACCCTGGTTTAGATGATGTTTCTCCTCATTTGCCTAAGTTTTCTTTCATCTTCCTTATCCTAGCCTAACTCCCAGGTACCTTCACTGCCTTCTGCTCCCTTGAGACTCAGGATATGGTCCATGGACCAGTAGCATCCATATCATCCAAGAGTTTGTTAGAAATGTAGAAATTTGGATGTGCTGCAGCCAGCTTGTACTTGTACTGCCTTTCCAGGTGACTATAT